TTGAGGAGGAGGAAGAGGAGGAGAAGGAGAAAGAGAATGGGAGGAGGAGAAAGAGGATGAGAAGGAGGACGAGGTAGAAGTAGACAGAAACGAGAGGGAGGCGGAGGGGACGAGGTGGGGTAGGATGAGGAGGACGTGGAGGACAGGACAAGGAGAAGGGCGAGGAGGACAAGAAATAGGAGGAAGAGGGGGAAGAGGAGGGTGAGGGGAGGAGGAGGAAGACCACCTCGACGATGACGACAAAGACGGGGGTTATGAGCACATGGTTTACATTTCTTAAAGCGTCTTAATAATTCCTTCTTTATTTCCCAACATATACAGATTTGCTGGACTACTATGAGCAGAGCTAATAAGAAATCTCTGTTCTAGTCCAATGTAAACTCTTGTGCCTGGCTTCCTGTCGTGAGCAGAGCTGTACAGAAACATCTGCCGTACTGTAAGCCACCAGAAAATCCTGTGGTTTTTCTGACGTGTGAAGAACTGTACAGAAACCTTTACTGCCATCAGAAAAATGTGTGGTGTCCGCACAAGAAAGAATCTCATTAAAGAAACAAGACTTACATAATTTATTTTACTGCAAGTCATAAGCAAGTCTTGTGGCAGCCTGCCCTATCGAGTGCAGAACTATTCAGAAACATCCACTGCTGTAAGCCGCCAGATCATCCTGTGGCATTCTGTCGTGTGCAGTACTATACTGAAACCTTTACTGCCATCTGTGATTTCCTCACAAGAAAGAATCTCATTACAGAAACAAGACTTCCACATTTGGGATAAAAAGAAAAAAAAACAAAGGTTTTTCGTGGTTTTTTTAAAGTCAAAGCTTTCACGTCAATCGCCCACAATGAATTCTACACTGAAACTGAACAACATAACACAAACACTAAATGTTGCTATTAAGACAACCCTTTTCGACAAGTACACCGAATACCCGGACGCCTATGACATCGAGAGGGTGTGGTACTACCTAGTGGGCGTGGCTGGGACTGTGGTCGGGGCGATGGGCGTGGTCTTCAACGGTCTCAGCCTTGGAGTGTGGACCAGTAGCGAGATGAGAACAAATTCAGGGTGAGTTGGTTTGGGGGGGGTTTCTTTTCTATTTATACATTGTTCTGGCTCTTCGTTACCTAAGAAGTACTAAGTTCTATCAGACATTTTTGGCCGTTTTGAGATATTCAGACCAGGAGGTCAAAAACCCAAATGCTTTTTTTTTGTCAAAATCGGAATCGTTATCAAGGTATTCAAAGAATTACATTTAAAAGCTTAACAAGTTGTGAAACTCAAAATTGTTAAAGGTCAAATCTCTCAAAACTATGTACTGAGCAAATAGAACTCTGTACTTCAAGGGTAGCAACTTGATATGTACAACACACACAAATGGTGTGTTCAAACCTCATACAAACTATACGATTGTTGTCTGCTTGACCTTGACCATCAATGATT